TCCAAGGGAAATACACTGTATTATAAAAAGTGTGAAAGGGAAGGGGTTAAATGCAATATCAGTACATTGATTAACTTTATTTGTCTGGAATTGCTGTTTACTCTTCATGCAGTACATATGTCAACACCGTGAGCGCAGTGTGCAACCTAATTCGCCAACAGGTGGCTATCTGCGCTGTTGTGTAAAAGCGGGAATTTATCACCTAATTAGCAGGGGAACGGGGATTTTTTTTTTCCAGTGGCGCTCCAGGAGGTAATGAAGCAGGCAGAATGCTAGCCTTATTCCCTATCAGATCTGAAAAATTGTTTAAGTTAATAGTCTATTTATTACATTTATTCCCTTAGCTTACCTGATTAATATCTTCCGTCCTGTCGCCTGCTATACAATTAAAATCAGTAAGAATCTCCTGGACGTATATTAGGGGGAAGGATGGTTGGAGATGGGATTTGCTGAGGCAGAAGGAAAGAGACAGAGCAGACAATTTATTATGGGTTTTGTCTTTGTAATGACCATGTGAATGGAAGGTTTCTGGAGTTTCCTTTTTTTAGGTTCTCTTGAATGCAGCATTAAAATAGATCTAAAGCCTCACTGGAAAACATTTAGTTTGCTAAAACACTGTGTACCACAAACAGTTGTCATTTTTTTCTAATAAAATACCTATTTCCCTCATTTTTTTCTCCTTTGTTGAATCTCAGTGCTGTTGATCTCCTACAGCCTCTTTCAGCCATTTCCTTTCTACACATACTCCCATGACAGCTGCATATACAGGTGCATCTCAATTAATTAGAATATCATCAAAAAGTTTATTTATTTCAGTAATTCAATTAAAAAAGTGAAACTCATATATTATATAGATTCATTACACACAGAGTGATATATTTCAAGTGTGTCTTTCTTTTAATTTTGATGATTATGGCTTACAGCTAGTGAAAACCCAAAATTCAGTATCTCAGAAAGTTAGAATATTACCAATAAAAAAAAGGATTTTCAATACAGAAATGTTGGCTTACTGAAAAGTATGCCCATGTACAGTATAGTATGCACTCAATACTTGGTCGGGGCTTCTTTTGCATGAATCACTGAATCAATGCGGTGTGACATGGAGGCGATTAGCCTGTGGCACTCCTGAGATGTTTTGACAGGTTGCTTTGACAGCGGTGTTTAGCTAGTCTGCATTGTTGGGTCTGGTGTCCCTCATCTTCCTCTTGACAATACCCCACAGATTCTCTATGGGGTTTAGGTCAGGCAAGTTTGCTGGCCAATCAAGCACATCGACACCATCATCATTTATCCAGGTATTGGTACTTTTGGCAGTGTGGGCAGCTGCCAAGTCCTGCTGGAAAATTAAATAAGCATCTTCATAAAGCTGGTCAGCAGAGGGAAGCATGAAGTGCTCTATAATTTCCTGGTAGACGGCTGCATTGACTTTGGAATTCATGAAATACAGTGGACCAACACCAGCAGATGACATGGCTCCCCAAATCATCACTGACTATGGAAACTTCACACTGGACCTCATGCAACTTGGATTCTGTGCCTCTCCATTCTTCCTCCAGACTGTAGGACCTTGATTTCCAAATGAAATGCAAAATTTACTTTGGACCACTGAGCAACAGTCCAGTCCTTTTTCTCCTTAGCCCAGGAAAGACGCTTCTGACATTGTCTCTGGATCAGGAGTGGCTTGACACAAGGAATGCGACAGTTGTAGCCCATGTCCTGGATATGTCTGTGTGTGGTGGCTCTTGAAGCACTGATACCAGCCATAGTCCACTCCTTGTGAATCTCCCAAAAATTCTTGAATGGCCTTTGCTTCACAATCCTCTCAAGGCTGCAGTTATCCCTGTTGCTTGTGCAAATTTTTCTACCACACTTTTTCCTTCCACTCAATATTTCCAATAATATGCTTGGATACAGCACTCTGTGAACAGACAGTTTCTTTAGCCATAACCTTTTGTGACTTACCCTCCTTGTGGAGGGTGTCAATGACTGTCTTGTGGACAACTGTCAAGTCAACAGTCTTCCCCATGATTGTGTAACCAACTGAACCAGAGTGAGAGACCAATTAAAGATTCAGGTTTTGAGTTAAGTAGCTGATTAGAGCATGACACCCTGGGGTTTATTTACTAAAGCTGGAGAGTCCAAAATCAGACTCCCTTCTGCATAGAAACCAATCAGCTTCCAGGTTTCATTGCCAAAGCTTCATTGAACAAGCTGAGGTTAGAAGCTGATTGGTTTCTATGCAGAAGGCAGTCTGATTTTAGACTCTCCAGCTTTAGTAAATAAACCCCCCTGAGTCTACAATATTGAACTTTATCACAATATTCTAATTTTCTGAGATACTGAATTTTGGGTTTTCACTAGCCGTAAGGCATAATCATCAAAATTAAAAGAAAGAAATGCTTGAAATATATCACTCTGTGTGTAATGAGTCTATATCATATATGAGTTTCACTATTTGAATTGAATTACCGAAATAAATTAACTTTTTGATGATATTCTATTTTATTGAGATGTACCTGTACTTGCTCTGGACCAACTTACTGATAGAGACAACGGCGAACTATGCCTGCGCAATGTGTGTCGGCACACTCATTTGTAGTCTCCACCACGGGAGCATGTGAAAGGGTGACAACGGAGGAGCAATCAGAAGACAATCAGAAGACAATTATCATCCTATAACAGGAAGTTATAAGGAAGTATTATATTCCTAAAATCTGAAGATTCTGAAGATTGAAAGCAACTTGAGTGGCACCGCAATCCATGGAATGTATTTTGCCAGGCGTTGCAGGCATGCGCCCAATATTGTATTGTTACCACAATGCAGTAGTGTAAATGGACCCCTAGTGTTTTGTGTTTCACAGAAATGCTTAGCGAGTCTTAAAGCAAGAAGCTGTTTATGTATTCAGTACTGAAAGTGAAACTTGTGCAGCATCTTGTTGGTGGTACTATAAAGTTCTAGGGAACATTGTTTGCTGAGCCACAATTCATGTTTTCCTAACTATTAGTGGCACTTGCTGACTCTCAGAGATGAACCAAAGAATCATGGGACAAGAGAGTACAAACCTTCCCAGATGACCTGTAAAAACCCCACCAAAACTAGCTGCACCTCTGGGCAAATCAAGCTGAATATGATTTTAAAAAATCAATAAGCAAAGGTCATCTTAAGCAAACTCACATGTCAAACTGATCAGTGAATTTAGAACTTCAGGCAGCTGAAAGTTATGTGCAGATCTCAACTTTTCCTGTGACAGTCATTTCTGGCCCCACCCCTCCTTCCTCCTTATTAGTCAGTCATCACATTAAAGGGCCAATAGGGAAAGCTTCAGAGAAGGAGTGTGAAAGTCAAGATTTGCATATAACTTCAGTTGCCTTAAAGTGTGAATCTACTGAATGTTTACATATACAGTTTGAGTTGACAAGATATGTGATAGGCCTAATTTAATTTTTATTATGGAGTATTCAGTTGGAGGACAAGGAAGACTAGGATCCCCTGTTATAGCAGTAGTTGCAAAGATGGGCAAAACAGAACCAGGAACTAAAGAAGGAATATCTTGAAGCTGGGGTCCCTAGAGATGGGGAGAAAAGAACAGTGGGTGATTTGTCCCACCCAATTCCACTAATATATGGCTTTAGAGTGTAGTCATCTTTTGAGTCTGAGTTGAGTGCGCTAAAGTGCAAGCATGATGCGCTTTAATGTGCATTGAATTAAGGCAGCCTATTAATTTGAATGGGTTACCTAAGGTACCAGAATGCTGCAAAAATTGGACATGTCCTGTTTCTGGCTGTGCAGCCCTGGAAAGCAATTACAACAATGCATGTAAGTTGTATTGCTGAGCATTACCGCAACATAACAGTGTCAATGGGTCCTAAGACTGTGCTAGGATGCCCACCACAGAGAGACTAGCCTCGGGGGCCAATTACACCCATCTCTTCCAGCTTATTCTTCACAGCTCTACCCATGAAGTTCTCCGCTGATTAACATCTCCTGGCTGTCAGACTTAACCAGAGAATTTTTTTTTACAATTTGTAACACATGAAGTGGTGAGAAAGCTCCTGCAAAGAACAAGCTCCAATTGTTAGGACAGGCCCACCTGCTGGGTAAAAGATTCAGCCCTTGCTAAATCTCCACAGAGAGGAGAATAGGAAAAAAAAATCCTAAGCTATTTTTTCCTCTCATGCACTGATTCAGGCAAATTTAATACAAGGGATAATTTGTGTAATTAACTATTCATCAAAGTCAGTCGTGTTAAATGGAACAGCAGCGGTATTACTTGTAGCAGCAGCAAGCAAAGTACATAGAAGGGATGGTGTAGCACAATATTGAATCAGGCCTTTCAGTCAAATGCTGCTGCTGCTGCTGCTTGCCTATGATACTGATTTGTAATGCTAAAAGTTGTGGCTTTTTTGAGTTTCCGGGTTTGCCTGGTTAACACAAGGATACAAATATGAAAGACACATCAGTCACTTCTGATATATCTATTAGGCTAGGTTCACATTGCTGCATTCTGATTTCCAGTGCAATGTATGAAGTGCAGCTTAGATCTGGTTAACAGGTCCTGTATTCATGTCCTGGTGTTTTGCGTGTCCTATGGATCAATAAATATACACTACATTCATCAAACCTCCAGTGTGCGGCTGACCCTTATTCCTGTTGTAAGGGGCCAAAATAACGCTGGAATTGCACCAAAGTAGTACAGGAACCTTTTCCAAAATTGTGCTGTGCTGCAGTCATGCAATTCTTTGCTACTCAAGTCGCATTTTAGTATTTCCTCTCTATTCTACTTCTCTTTGAGTTCTACTGAAGAGTAAAATTTTGGATTTCCCATCACTTTCTGTTCTGTTGAGTACAAAAGGTTCTAAACCTTCAACACTCTATCCAAAACCAAAACAGAAATAAGTTTGGCTTTTAACCGCCTCCCACCCGCCATATAGTCCAATGACGGACGCAAGGCGGTTCTCTCGTTCTGGGAGGACATCATATGACGTCCTCCCATTCTAACCATGCATGCAAAACTCTGGGAGCATGCAACGCGGCGATCGGCGGTGCGCTGTGTCCCTCGGACACAGAGGATCACCGATCCGCAGAAACAGTCGAAGATGTCAGCTCGGTCATGTGATCAGCTGTGTCCAATCACAGCTAATCGCATGTAAACAGGGAAATGCCAGTTATCGGCATTTCTCTCCTCACGAGCTGTCACGCTGACAGCTCGTGAGGAGAGGAGAGCCAGTAATTGGCATTCTTCGGAGGGGACATTTGCACTGATCATCAGGGCACTGATGATCAGTGTGCTCTGATGATCTGTGTAGCCCCAGCAGTGCTACCTGTCAGTGTACATCAGTGCCAGCTTTCAGTGCTCATCTATGCCATCTGCCAGCGCCCATCAGTGCCACATCAAGGCCACATATCAGTGCCTACCAGTGCGCATCAATGCCACATATCAGTGCCCATCTGAGCTGCCTTTCAGTGCCACCTATCAGTGCTGCCAATCAGTGCCACCTATCAGTGCTGCCAATCAGTGCCGCCAGTCAGTGGTGCCTATCAGTGTGCATCAATGCCGCCTATCAGTGCACGTCAGTGCTGCCTATCAGTGCCACCTAACAGTGCCAGTCAGTGCCACCTAACAGTGCCAGTCAGTGCCACCTAACAGTGCCAGTCAGTGCCACCTATCAGTGCCATATATCAGTGCTGCCACTCAGTGCCCATCAGTAATGCCTGTCAATGCCCATCAGTGCCACCTACCAGTGCTTCCTCATCAGTGCCACCTATCAGTGTCCATCAGTGCAGCCTATCAGTGCCCATCACTGCAGCCTCATTAGCGCACATCAGTGAAAGAGAAAAATCACTTATTTACAATATTTTATAGCAAAAACTAAGAAAAACCTTTTTACTTTTACCAAAGTAAAGCTCTATCTGTCACATAAAAATGATAAAATGGGTACAATGTTCATATGGGTACAATGTTGCATGACCGCGCAATTGTCATTCAAAGTGTGACTGCGCTGAAAGCTGCAAATTGGCCTGGGCAGGAAGGGGGTATAAGTGCCCTGTAGGCTACTGGTTTAGGGATGTCCAACTCAATTACATGTATACAATCAAAATAGCAGAAAGTCCTCATAGCCTGATTATTTTACCTGCAAAATATATTTGTTTTTTCCTAATAACATCAGGACAAAAACTTAACAGGTGAAGAGTACCACCTGCAATAGGTTTTGTCATAACAGATGTTTTTCGTGAAAAATACAATGACAGCATCGATTTCATCCTTACCAGATGCGTGTATGGATGAGATGGTAAGGTAGTGGGTAGTTTATCAGCAGAGGAAGAATGGTGTGTGTCCGTGCACAGGCTGTTATCAGCCAAAAATTGTGATTTAACTGTTTAAAAAATGCAGTGTAGAGGACATATTGAAGCTGTAGCTCACAGTTAATATCACAGGTATTTACTTATATATCATTACTTCAGACATGTGGTTAATATTTTCTTAGTCAAGGTGCCAAGTATGCTTTAACTGGGGATGAGCTTAGGCAAAGTTTGCTTGCATCAAAGAAAGTCTTTCATAGCCAAAACAGCCACAGCTTATTTGTCGCTGGAAGCTGATTCTGTGAACATGAAGAACACAGTTTTTTTCTTTTATTGTACTTTGTGGAGGTAAATGACGGTGGAGGTTTATGAATGCAATCTTGCTGTAGGGGCTCAATTTCCCCTGGAGCAATAGGTGACAGTTTCAGTTTACCGAGAAGACAGAAATCGCTTTTGCTCTTGTTGTCCTATCAACAGTAATTACACAGTGCTGTGGTAAAGGTTGCCACTTTGTAAACGACGTATAATAATTATGACAATAACGCAGTTATGTTGCTGCCATCTTCATGGAAATGCTTCAATAGTGCTCTTTCTCTAGACCAGACAACAAGACAGTGCTCTGGTAAAGGCTTCTCTGTGATGTGGAAGATGTTCCAATGAAGTGCTTTTCCTTGTACTAGGCAGGCCAGTGATGCTGTGGTTAGCATTATTGTACGAAAGCATGACTCTGAACACAAGGAAGGACACTTATCTGCTTGTAGTTCATGTGCGCTCTCCTCATGACTGTATATCTTACATACTGGCAGGTATGGTACTTAAAATATAATTAAAACCTACCACTAAACACCTATAAGGATTAAAGTTTATATAAAGGCTGCTGTGTGATAGTCCAAACAGGTCCCAGTTACTATGTGATGCACAACCCAAATAAGGAAGATAAGGAAAAACAAAAAACTTCCCATATCTTCCTGACTGAGCCAAATCCTGCTTTACAAGGTCCGCCTACCAAACACTGCAGCTCACAATGTGAGGGTTTCAGCAACAGAGGCAGTACTGTCAATCCAGAAAACAATGGGCAGGACTAGGTGTGTTCAGGTGCCGATTGGCTACAGGCTTGTGAATCAGTAAAGACAATGGTGATAGTTAACGTCCTTGAAACCTCTTCTCAACTCACTGTAGTGCAAGCAGGCACAGCCTACGTAAGGGTGGCAACGCTGCTGTGAGGAGTAGAGCAGTATTGTTGCCCCACCATCACAATAAGCTGCACTAAATGGACTTCACTAGCAGGATTAAGAAGTATTTGTGGGACTTTGCAGGGGGACTAAGAGAAACTGTAAGTGCAGATATAGTCCAGTATAGTTCAATATGCAATATTTTCTGTTTTCAGTGAAATAATACCTGGTGTCATGAAAGGGATATAAAAACACACCTTCTGAAAATACCGGTTGGCTTGCTCTTTTATGGGCCCACTGGCTTTAATACTTTCAGTCACTTGTCTTTTGCAATCCCCAGTACAGCAGAATTCAGAGTGGGTGGGGGGGAAGCAGTGTATGGAGCCAGTTAGATGTGCTGCACGGAAAACAAGGAGAGACCAGAGTGACATAGAGATGAGCTCATCAGTCTGCTGCTTCTCCTTCGTTGTACAGGGGGAGGTACAGGATAAGTGTTACTAAGCTGCATTAAACAAAATCAGGTTTTCTGCCCTGCCAGTACAATCAAAGAATATGGGTGCACTCTAATTATATCAGCTAGAATAAATGTTATTGTTCCAGAAGACAAAACATGTAAAAGGTCCACCAAGCTGATGCTTTTCAGCCCAAACAGAGCTTAGTTATCAAGATCTTATACATATAAGATTTATAATACAAAAATAATCCTAGCCTATAAAATCGTACGCCATAAAATGTGTATTTTATCTGTTCTAGGCTGTTCATCCTCTTTGAATCCATTTAAGTATTTTAGTAATGAAACTCAATGAACTTATAATCAGGAGTTTGGTGCAGGTTTGTGTCTATTTGTGTCTATCACTGACAGCTGCAATATCAATGCATTAATACACAGCCGCTGTATGAGAAGGTTCTCACAGATAAAGTCTTATATCCTTGCCGCTGGCTCAGTGTTTCAGTAAAGCTGGGACTATCAGATATTAATACCATTTTGATGACATGTGCACTATTCTCCCGGTTCAGCTCTCAGTTCTCGCCTTAAGTCGAGGAATTAAATTTTTGCTCATTATCTTTATTTTTTTCCTTGATCATCAAGATTCTAAACTGCATTATGAAATTGACCCACAAGTTCCTATACTGGAGGAGATCGATGGGGCTTCATATTTGCTGAATTTATGAAAATGGGTTTTAATGAGGTAGGAGGCTCTGTAAAATCTGCCACATTTTAAAGTCTTATATATATTTTGTAAAAATAAAAATTTAGATTGGGGATGATAGACACTGTGCAGTTAAGGTGTTTATATCACTAAATATCTCTGGGTCTTGGGCAAAATTGTAACCATCCGAAGCAACACAAAATATATGGCATAATGTAGATCTTCCATCACAAAATACTATTAAAGTGGATGTTTTTGTAATTTTACCAGTCTCCATCAATAGATTCCTGACATGTCATAATATACAGCAACCGCATGATTTTTCAGAAAACAAACACCATATTTTTATTATTAAAAAAAAAACTTAACTGAACTCCAGTCAATGTGAGCTTTTCACAATGTGTGCATTAGAAGCTGTAGCAAGTCTTATAGAGCCTGTCTCATTTCTTGGCTGGAGAACATAGTGCACCATCTAGCCCCTTCTCCCCTGCTTGACTGTCCCCTGCCCATGTATGTATCCTAAATGATAGAGATTGATTCACCATCTGTGAATGTTTGGTGAAAGTCATATTTCTCTTTTTAGAAATATATGCCTAAGTGACAGGCTGCATAAATCAAGACAAATCATCTTACTAAGAAAATGTCTTGTAGTGCCGCTCCAAGCTGGATAGTAAGATAAAATCACCATGTCGGCAAGGAAAGGGAGCAGGTGTCCGAGAGCAATTTCCAGTATAGCTGATAGGAGAAGAAGGTGGATGCCGCTCAACTGACCCCTGGAGACAGATGCACGGATAGCTTGGCCTCAGCCACCGCTCCTGCCACGCCCTCTGATGCATTTTGCCCCGGCCACCGGGGGGGCTTGATCACAGATATTAAGCCCCCAGTGGGTGGGGCAAAACTTGTAAGAGGGTGTGGCCAGAGCGGTGGCTAAGACCAAGCCATCCATGCATCTGACTCCTGGGGTTGGTTGAATGGCAACTCAAATCATCTTACTAAGATACAGTCAAAATAGATCAACATAATAAGGGCCTTTGTCAATGGGATTTTGGTTTGTGCGGCAGAGCAAATACAGTGTGTTTATAGCTGCATTTGCTTTGCATTGGACATTCATTTACAACTCTTCTGAGATTAAAGTTCATTTATGGGTACACTTGACCTGCAGTTGACCTCTTTCTAAGCTGCATCAAGCTGCTTTTGTGTTTCGCATTGCGGGGGGAGCAGTTCTGATGCAATCAAAAGCCCATCAACACTTTGATAAGTAAAAAGCCAGTCACTCTGGGCAACCAGGTCATCAGATGCTAAGAGGTATTATACATAGCATAGCTATGGTGAACATTGGTTCCCAAAAACCCAAGTACAGATGGTGGTAAATGGGTACAAATAAAAAAAAAAATGTGCAAATTGACAATTTTCTGTCTGTGTAGTACGAAATGCCAAATACAGAATGCTTTTTTTTTTTCTTTATTGGAACATTTTTCGCACATCAGTCTAATCAAATTGGAGCCTGTTTTCAGTCTGTATGCCTCGTATGCAGCAGTGTATGTACAGTGATGAGAGGATAGCTCCATCTACCCAGCAATCACAGTGAAGGACAAGTGCCTACCTTAAATAGAGGCCGGGGCTAAGTAAGTCCCTTTATGAGAGTGATGAGGCAAAATAGTGTGACTCAGTCTAATGGAATAGCAATAAAACATCTCAATTATATTAACTTCAGCCTTTTGGTACAGGAGAAATTATGTTTAATATTACAGTATGCGGAAAAGGGGATATTGTAGCTAACACTATCATCATATAATGTGTTCCTATTCTGTGGTATCGTTCAAGTTTTTTTTTATTAGCAGCAACATTCAAAATTCTAACGCAAAGGAAAGTAGAAGGCCAGCAATAACTTTTTGATTTTGGAAAGTGTGGCAAATGGTTAAGTTTTTATTGATTGGATGA